AATTCAACAGCGCCAGAGGAGCAGAGGGTCATTATGTCTGCAAAGACTGGCCCGTGAGGAGGACTGAGGAGGGACAGCATCAGCAGAGATGTCACAGATGTCACAAATATATAGCCATAGGCGGTGAGAGAGGGAGGGACGGCCGGTGAGAGGGGTTTGCGGTGAAGGCTGTGCAGGAGCGTATCTGGAGATAAGGAGATGGATGTGCTACTTTGTTTCAGATTGCTTTCTGACGGTGGTTTGCAGACCAGAAGTTATTACTTTATGGTTTAAATTGATCAAGCTGGCATGGCAGATCTCAAGTTCATTCATAAAACAAATCTGCCTGTGATGGAAAGAAAGATGATGGGATTGTTTGATCTAACGGATGCTTCCTTTAACAAAAAAAAATGTGAAAATGAAACCACTGCCGCATCAGCCAATTAAAGCACGATTTTTACAGTGCCTGCAAATGCACCATGATTTTCCTAAAGAGATTTTTAAAGAGCAAATATAAACAAATCATAAAGTAGTACTATTTTGTTATTGATTTCTTCTTCTCCACGTGACTCCTTTAGAGTAGTTACTAAGACTCTTTAGAGGTATTGGATAAACACAATAATGAACTTTTGCTCTTTAACGTTTGTGTTGAGTATGTGTCTGTGGAGCTGTGCCAGCATTTCAGGAAAGTTCTGATCTTTAATACACAGCGTGGTACCAGCAACACCCGGGGCTCCTGGACAACAAGGGTTTCTCCAAACGATTAAACATGTTGAGATTATAGGGTTCAAGATTAAAACAATTGACACAGCTGGAGCAGGCTGAATCTGTCTTTTTCTTTCTTGCTTGAGGTTTGGGGGGAGTTGAACAGGTCCTACATGCACCTGCTCATGGCTGTAGTAATCTCAATCCATGATCATCCATGGGACAGGCCAAAAAATTCAGCCCCATGTGGTGTCTGTCATCAGATGTATAATATCTGGCTTCAGTGGATATGGATGGGATATCCTGATGATCATCTGAGAGCTGTATTAATTAGCTCAGTACAATGGAACTTGGTCAGTATTACACATACCTGAAATGCTTAACATTAAGGAGGTAAATCATTGGGTGCTAGTGGTTATTACATAGCAAGCTATATGGCAGAGTGAGCACTGACATTGTGCCATGTGGGGTTCTACATATAGCACCATATCTAGAGCTTTCTGTGATTTTTCTATGAAATGGATAATTTAATATGTACTGCTGAGACATTTGTAAACTGAGGTAAATATAACACTTTGGTTTTCTTTTAGGAATCATGTTCATTTGTCTTATTTGATTTTTGTTTTCTCACACTCATTGCTTTGATAGCTGTTTGGGCCAAAGGGGATGATTTTCTGTGAGTGTTTCCATCATTGCAGGTCAAAGCGACCTTGTATCAGCACATATTAATAAAAAAAACCTATTGAAAATATACACTGTTCATGCTTGAAGGTTTCTTGGGGAATCTCTTGAAGGAGCTGTACTGTGGTGCACACTTGTGTGTATGTGGTTGTGCACTGATGCACACCATAATTGCTTCTGTACTTGTGTATGTTCCAGCGTGCTAAAAGGGGTAACCAGCAGAGAGAAATTGTTATTAATCTTCCGCTTTTCTATATGCATATAAACTTCAATATATGGTTCAAACTGAAAATGAAAAGATGTCTTTAAGCACTAATACAGCGGCTATGTTTTATTCATGGGCTATCTTGCAGGTTGCAACAATATTGTGCTGTTCATTTGAGAACCAGAGGAAGCAGGGGATTGAAGCCAGGCAACCCAGCCCCTTCCTGAGTCAGCTCCCCTTTGAACCACACAGTATGTGCACACCATTTGACCTGGTGGCTGGCATGATGATTTTGTCAAATGCTGCTGTGTCCAAAGCATATTTGTGAATGATCAAAGACATGCAGAAAGAAGCAAGCTGTCAGTTTAAGGGGCAAAACTCAGACTCCTGGTGTTTGGACAGCTGCTAATAAATGTCCTGAGGACTGATCCTATATTTGTCTGCAGAGAGCAAGGCTTTGTTGCACTACAGTAACCCTGAGTGAGTATTACCAGACTCCAGTGGTGCTTTAAACCATTTCATACGTATGTGTATGTACATGCAGACCAGTGGGCATACTTGCTCTGCTAGAGCCGGCTTTACAAAGCATCAGTCAAGGTTAATTAATCATACAGTGTGGTGTGATCCCTGATGTAATCATTTAATAACTGCAGTGTGAGTATAGATTACTGACTTTTGAACGCAGCACCGTTTGCTGCCAGCAGTCTAGTAAGCCACAGCAGCACACAACATTAGACAGCCTTTAGCACACTCCAGAGCCAACTACACATTGTGATCAGCTACATCTGTCAGGTATGACACACTTAAGTGTCTGGGTTATTGCAGCCCATTTACTGCAGCTTCTCTTAAGCCCACTTATCCCCAATGTGTGATCAGTGTTCAGCTCCTACTGAGCTTTGTTTCCTGACTGGTTATAATCCTTTTCACAGTGAAGACTCATTGGTGACTAATATCCAATGATTATGTGCATCCATCCATAATTATAACATATCTGCAACTTTATCTTGGCCGTTACCTTTTTTTCTTACATCATACTGTATGTCGTAGATGTATGATGACCCACCCCCAACCAGTCCACCCATCTGCCCAGCCCCTACCTCACTCCTGTCCTTTCAGTGAAACTCCCTGAGAGGGGGACGCTCTAAAGCCTCGACCATTCAATCACCCTCTTTTCACTGTTGCTACAGTAACACTTTCACACACTAACATATCAAACACGAGCAACAAAGCCTCTAACCTAGCCACACTCACTTCCTGGCACAAAGTCTGTCTGAAAGGTAAAAAGAGGCTTTGTCAAGGTCATTGCACATTTAGAGAAGCTTAAAATAGAGTCCGATATTGACAAAACAAGACTCACAGCAGCTGTCAGCAGATCCCGGGAGATAGTGAAAAGAGATGTATTAAGTTCAGTCTGAACTGCTCTGTGTTCATGCGTTAGTGTAATTACTACCATACATCAAGCCACAGGGGCAACCAGTTGTTTAAGTGCTGTAACATACAGTATATAACACTTAAATTATCAAGTGAAGTGCAGCGTGCTTAATATCCCTGTAGTGGTTCATTACAAATCAGAGCACTATGTTAGAAAACAGTGTTCAATCCAAAAAACCCACAATGACTGCACTGCCACAGCACTGTGACGGAGGCTTGATCTATTGAAGAGCATTTTTAGCTCCACCCACAGTTACGGATCATAGAAAGGTCATACGTCTAAATATCTTTTGATGGTGATGGAAGTTAGAGCAATCTGAAATACACAAGCATTAACTGTGTTGCCATTACTCAACAAAAGTAATATAACTTGTAAATTGCTACCGTTACACCAGTGGCGCAGGACTCGTGACTATTTACTGCCCCCTTGTGGTTTAATGCTGAAAAGTGTTGCTTTGAATAGGAAACCAGGAAAAAACACTCAGTGAAACAGTCAAATCCAAGTTAAAATTTATTCCACACTTGAAGGACAAGAAATTTTTTTTTTACATGAATGTTAAGGCAATTATCACACTTAAACTAACCTATGCAAAAATGACAATAGTTTTTCCAAAAAAAAAGGGAAGAAACTTATAATTTCTGATTAAAATGTGCAGGGAATAAACTAATGCAAAATAAGCTATTATTCAGAATTTGGGAATAGATACTGTGACAGAACATGCAATGATAGTAGAGGAAAGGAAAGCTAACTAATATAAACTCAAAAAAAGAATATATATATAGAGAAAGACACAGAGCAGGCTATGCATTATGATAATTATCATTATAAAGCCACTAATTATAATCATTTATAATATAATATCATTTAATTTTTGGTGGCGTTATACATATTTATATGCACTTTAATAGTATACTTGTATTATACCGTTATATATCATATTATTACTTATTTATTATATAGATAATGTTAACATAGTGTTGTCCCACTGTTGTATATGTGGTATGTTTGCTAGCATCTTGGTCCACCCATCCTTTGGTCAAGTCAAGCTGTTAAAATAACAAGTAAAAATCTCCCACTGTGCAGTATTTTAAATTAATCTACTGTCTTCCATTTTATTCATCAAGCCATAATGTAATTGTTCCTTTACTTTTACCAGTTTGTGCCAGTTATTGCTCCTCAGAAAGGAACGGCCCTAATGAATATTATCTGATCGGCTGTATTGAATTATTACCTAAATTTGTTTATGCAAATGAAAAAAGATATGCACATTAAATACTTTTAAATGTAATGTAATCACATAACACAGTGAGATCATATATATGTGTGTGTGTGTGTGTAAAAAA